TTTTGCGGAAATAATGTTGCAAAATAACTCAATTTTCGGTGGAATTGTTGCTATTCAATCAGAGAAATAAATCACTTCCGGAGAATTGCTCAAAGGCACACAATTGAACGAAAGACATCATTGGGTGATAAGCGACGAACTCGCTATTCTCAACTCCAAATCATCTGTGATTTCCGTAGAGTGCTTTAAGAGTAGATTCTCAAGTGTTATTCCAGGGTCGCTTGGCAACTTCACATGATGAGATTCCAATAGTTCCAAATGCAAACGATTTACGACTTGAGCCACACCTGCCATCCAAATTAAATATTAAATATTCCAGCCACAAGAGATTTCCACTGTGCATCGCATGGAAAGATCGTCTACTGCGCCAGATAGAGTAGCGTTTTTTTGTCATCTGAATAATTAAGCTAACGTGCGTCATAATATAATTTTCATATTTTTATGACAGAATTATGCCTTCGATGCCGCTCCAAATCCCAAGAAAAATGTCCATGGAGGAATGCCGAGTGCCCCCTAAATTTAACGATATGATTCCATATCATAAATATAAATTTAGTAATTAATAACAGATTAATTGGGGGTATATGACAATCTGCATGCGCGTGATGGCGTAGAAGTTGGTCATAGTGTGCATTAAAAATTGATAAATACATGTGTAATTTTAATCCCCATCTGGAAAGTTGATGTCCCAATCAGTCTCTGTCGTGTTGATTCCATCTTCTTCCTCTTCAATTTCACCTCAATCAATAATCCCCGCCATCAGATGAAATTAGGATATTTTTTCCTCACTCAACTTAATTAATTTTATATGACAGCCTCATCTGCAGGAGGAGAAATATATAATGCTAAAGAGAATTCTCTATGATAGTGGACTGATGGAAATGACCACAAATTCCAATTCTGATTATCATAAATTTCTAATCATTTTCACATTTCTTCGCAACATGTCTCAGCGCGATTTTGGCAAGAATTGCTTTCTTTTATGGCAACCACAAGCGATAGAAGTGTTCGCGCGACGCCAACGTTTGTCTCTCATTATAATTAAATCAATTTTTCAATAATACAAACACATTCATTTGAAATTCACATTTAATTTACAGTTCTGGCGGCAAAAACAAAAAACATTTCTGCCTTGATGCTCGACTGAAAAAAACAACACAGCACAATTTCAGCTCGTTGTTTTCTAATGCACTCGAGTAATGTGAAATTTTTTAAAGTGGCAGAATTTTGCTCACATGAATGTGAAATTATGTTAATAACACGATTATTGTAGTGCACTTGGCTATATATGTATTTTTTCTCTCCTTTCGTCCCATTGCGTTCGGCTCTTTTTTTTTCCTCCAACATTTTCATCTACGCGTCACTCTTGCATTTGTGGGAGTTCCACTTGGACAAAATGATATTCACAAAATGAGTAATTATCGAAGCGTAACTTTTCACGACTACAATACAGTTTGTAGAGCAACTTGGCGAGTAATTATGCACTTGAATGTTCAAACAATCACCTTCGTGCATAATTTGAATTAATGCCAAATCACTGGGGGTGATTGCTCTGCCACTCTTCATCCCCCGCGAGAAGCTCTAACCAATCGCGTTGCACACACTGATCGAGGTTCTTTGATAAATTTTGGAAAAAGGGTGAACGGAAAATCTCCGTCTCGCCCATGGATTGAAATTAATTTGTCCCAAACGAATCGCTCTGAGGCGATTAAATCTCAATCAATTATGTGGTTAAGTCTTCACAATCATAACAATCACTCAGCAGAGTCGATATGAAATGAGCTGCATTGTTGACTGAATAGGAACATCAATGCGCTCAGTTGAGTGTTCTCTGGAGTTGCGGAAGGGTTAAGAGACTTTCGCCTGCACTCAATTAATGTCACTGAGATTTTGAGACATTGTGGATGGCGAAGAGGGTGGGAAACACTGGGGATTTGCGTGTCCAAACAAAGCAATAAATATGGTCCGGGATTTGCAACATGGTGGTCCTCTTCAAGGGGGAGATAATACAGTTAGAAGTGGTGTACAGCTCATCAGAGGTACTTAAGAAGTGAAAGCGTTCAAAAGTTTACAGTATTCAATTCCTGAGTACTTATTTTACTGACAAATTAACCCAATTCTTTAGATTTCCTTCGATTTTCACGCAGAATCAATAATCCAAATCTTTTTTCTAGGTTATGTAGTGAATCTCAGACATATTCAGTGAATAATCCGCATTCTAGCACATGAATTGTGCTAATCCTCGGCAGAATTAGGCATTTACATGCAATAAACATAGTGCTTTTCTGAACCTTTGATGCTAAGAAACACCGCAAATTGTAATGAACTCAAACATAACCTCTAAAATACTGATTTAAACTTGAAAAATGTTTATTTAAAAAGCTTTTTAGACAATTTTGACCCTGAATCTGCCTGAATCTGATCATTTTGTGATCTAGAAAGCTTTGAAATGGAGTTTTTCAAGATCTCTTAGTTATATTTTGAGGTTATGGTCGGCAGAAGGTGCCCAAAAATGCGTTTTTAAGTAAATTATTACAGAAATATCGGATGAAAATAGTCTATAAACTTCAAGCTCTAGAAATGTCAGGCAAATTTGGAAGTATTTGAAAGTGATGTACAGATTAAGGGCATATTATCTCCCCCTTGGTTCTCTTCTATTTGGCTGGACAAAAGGAGCAAACAGGAAGGTTTATATTGAAGTGGTAAGAGAGTTGAGAGATTTCTCAAGAGGGATGATTCCATGGTGTGAAAAGACACGCGACTTTATGACTACGACAGAATGCGTCAATTTCTTCAATTATCCCCATTTGTGGATGCGCGCGCGATTCTCATGGCGCGAGAGCGAATCTCTTGGCCAGCAAAAGCCCAAGTGGACGCAGCCAAGAGGCCCCAGACAGCCTAACACGATGTTGCTAATTTTAATCTCTATTTATATACGAATTTAAACGTCACCTCTTAACATTAACACATGCTTTTTATGCTTGATAATAAATAAATTTAGCGCGTTGCCCGCAGCAGAAAAGTCACACAATGTGTAAATTGGAAGGCTAAAGGGGGAGAGATTTAAAGTGTGCGCCACGGCATAATATCTTTGACTTAATGTTTCACATTGAGTATAAATTGCTCCCACGCTTTGATTGTGCGCTCCGTTCGAGATTCGCAGCGGCATTTCGCGGGCAACACTCTGTCTTTCTCCGCATTCGCAAGATAGAAGTGTACATATGGATTTTTTGTCCTCTTGTTCACATTGTAAATAAAATTTATATTGCCATGTTTATTGCAGTCACTTTTAATTCCGCATCCACAGTGGCCGCGGAGCCGGAGAGTCAAGTTATGGGCTGGCAAAAGAGGCATAAGAAATGACAATTTCGGTGAATTATGGTATTGACTTCTGTCTTTCTTCGTGAGTATAATGAAATGAAATTGTCACACACACTTTGAGCTAAAAAACATCACCGATCAATTGATGTCACAATGAGGATGCATTAATTGAGCATATGCGAAATCCCGCGTTGAAACTCTCTGTCAGCAAAATCATACACTCAACATAGAGAGAGACTGAGGAGATCATCCAATAAGCAGAAATTGCAGGAACTTAGAGGCGGCGTCTGGCAAGAAGTCGTGAATGAAGTTGATGAGAAGGCAGTGGGGCGGAATATGTTGATTTGAGGAGAAGAAATCAAACAGTGCTTGCGTGTGTTTATTCCATCTGTTCGGCGACTTCATTGAGAAATGGTAACACTTGGCTGAGCATCTCAAAAATACTTGATTTGACACCGAAATGCCATTCATGTCTCCTGGATGGCATGGAACACACCTCATTAGTGACTCCATGGAGCGCTTCCAACGAGGTCTATGGAGAAAAAGACGACACACACACACACACCATCCGCGATGAAATTCTCTCCCCGAAAAACACGGAGAAACGGAAAGAATTCACGCGCGGCGTGAATTGAGAAAGTGTTGTTTCTCGCGCCCATCGGAAAAACTTGTAAGTATATGGCCGGAGATATTATCATCAGTGCTGGGCATAGTGAAAAAGATTGGCGATAAAAAAGCAACAAAGAAGAAACTAAACGCCGAGCAAACAAATGAGGTTCTAGCTGAAAAAATAGACTCGCACGCTCAAATGTGTGCACACAAGACACACTCACACAATTGAGTAATGACTCAATAATGGGGAGAAAAGAAGTCAATCTCCCCGTGAGCAATTAATTGCCTCATTGGCTAATTGTGTGAGAGCGTATGGACATTCTGAAGGAGCTGCATCATCTGCAACTTTCGCGAAACTCTCCCGAAAGGCCGCGCAGCAACTGCACTGCTTGCAAAATTATTGCAATGCAATTGATTTTAATTGGCAATTATTTGCAATGACTCGATATTGAATGCACCACTCACACAAGTACCTCTCGTGATCAAATTACAACGCAAATTGACCACGAGCATTAATCCAAATTTCACTCAATAAATCGCGCGCGCTCTAAAGAGAGAAATGTAGGGCTAGAGAGAATGAAAGATCTCAGGCATTTAATTGATGTCTTTTATATTTGCAGTTGAAGAGTTTACTGATTCTGTCAATTTATATTACTCACTAACATTATTTTTTTTCCTTATTTATATCCTCTCCTCTCTCTCTCTCACTCTCCCTATCAGCATCAATAGTAATTACACTGAAGTTTTTCCGATTTTATCTCCATTTTTCTATCATATTTTCTTCTCCAGTAATTTTGTACACAGTTTCATCAGCTATATAGTATGTCTCTCGTACATCCTTTTTTTCTTTCTATAATTAATGTAATCACTATAAGAGTTGTTAAAGTGGAAAATAAGAAGTTCTCATTTTGTTTTATTCTTTTTTTCTCTTCAGTAAAAATTTCATTACTATTCCTTAAATAGATAAAATTGAGTGATACCATATTATTTGAATTTATCTGTATATATGCAGTGATTTTCTTTTATTGTTATTTACTTGCTTGCTCCTTTTTTTTAACTTCTCTCTCTCTCACTTCTCCTATATAGAATTCTTCACAAATATACCTACATAAAATTTTTCTTTAATAATTATACTTACAATAATTATTACGTTTTCACTCTATTCTCTTAATCCATCTCTCAATAAAATAAATCAATGATTTCCTTTTGCGCGATCTTCCTTCACTGCTATAGTTAAATTAATATTTACAGAAATATCCTTGCCTTTTCTGCTGTTGTTTGTTGTTTTTTTGTGCATCATTTCAGAACATAAAAAATACATTCAAGTGCTTCTAAATAAGCACAAATATTGATTGAAAATGTATATAATTCATCCGATTTTAAATTGATAAAAAGAGATTTTTTTTTGTCCATATATAATTATATTCCCAACAGTATCATCAGCAATATTTTCTTTTCATCATCAATATTTACAACATAATTAAAGAGTGGAATATCCTTTGAATATTAATTAAGCTATATAACTTTTTGGTGTTGAATATCCATGGTTGAAATTCGAAATGTATTCGCAAATATATGTTTTATAAAAACATATGTGGTGGCGTTTTTGTGTAATATCATACATAAATTTTAACCAAAATTAATATTTTCAATAAATTTAAATAATAATAATTAGTCTTGGAATCCAATTAGGAGGATTTTTGCGAGTGTGGATAATTGATATTCCGCAAATTGTTTCTGGGAAATGCGTGTTTGCTCTTTTTTTGTCAGTGGTATTGAGTGAGAACTTTTTGATGTTCCAAATTCTATTATACATCAGTTATTGTTAATTGTATATCTACACGATTTTCATTATATACTGAGTTTTATGCTCTACCTATTTTGTAATATAATAACTCTTATATACAACCATGTAAAATGAAAAATGGCATTTCCGTGAGGAACAGAGAGACACTCTAATTTTTGGGAAAATTTTGCGCTTTTTTTTCTCCTGTGACATATATAAATAAAACGCCCCAATAGGAAATTTTCAGAATGAAATCACAGATGAAGTCATGATTGAGAGATATGTGAGGAAAATGTATGGATGGAAGTATAATATAAAGATATTTATTCACCTTCTGAGTGAGAAGTTCCATTGCTGACCAGAAGATACAACAACTCTCTGTGTGCCCCAATTCTCTCTCTCGGAATTTTCCCCCGAAAATGCCATCACTCATTGTATAAACTGTCCACATATTTCATTATTAAATTACGCAAGTAATAATATTACCATCTATGGGTGAAAATTAGTAAATTCAGAAATTCATTGTCTCTATAACTTATACTCCAATGAGATTTATCATCTCTTTATCATTCTTTCTATGGGAAAAAAAAGTATTTTTTGCAACTTTTTTTTTATATATACTTCAAAAGTTCATCTATCGATCAATGCTTTTAAATACACGATTTGATTCCATCACTGAAGACTCTCAGGCCAACCCCATGTCTTCGGGGCAAACAATTCTCCTCGAATGTCACAGACAGAACTTCCCGACGGGATTTCCTGGAGTCTCCTTTTGTTAGTCATATTTTAACGATACGGGAAACATTTCCTACTTTGGAGGAAATTTGCATGGTGAAATATTGACACAAGACATCTTCCTCATGTCTCGAGCGCCTGGCAGCGGTTCCTCCTCACTTGGCGGAGAGTGTCACCCTCCTGCATGGCGGATGCTGCTGATTATAAGGACGAGATGTCCATCAGAGAGTTGTCCTGATGGATGTGATGGTGGTGGCGATAGAGCAGGCTCGTGGCCTGGTCTCACATGTGCGCCAGCGGAGCCATCGTCCGCAGCGATTGCTGCTGGTGCTGCTGCTGCGTCTGCAAGTCCGGCGACACGCTGTTGTGCTGATACATGAGACTCCGCTGGTGCTCCACCGCGGCCGTGGTCATCGGGTCCTGCGAGATGCCGTACATCGTCATGAGATTCGTGATCTCCGGCTGATAGTCACTGGAGCGCTTCATCAGGTTGTTGTTGCCGGCACTCTGGGCCGCCGAGTGGAGTGGTCCCGGAGACACTGGTTCCGATTTGATGCTCGTGTCACTCGGACTGTGGCTTTGGCATGACATTTGGGAGCCGGGCTGCGTCATTCCGCCGTACGGCGAGCCCGGCTGCTGCTGCGACAGCCCGCTGTAGGGACTCCCTGGCTGCTGCACCGAGTTCCCGCTGCCACCGCCCGACTGATAGGGACTCGTCTGCCCACCGGACACCGTGCCGTACATTCCGTACGCCCCCGAGCCCATGTAGTTGATGTTGCTGGCCGCGGCGTTGTGCATCTGGGCCATGTCGTATCGGTGGTAATTGCTCATGTAGGCATTGTGCTGGGCAGATTGGTAGGCCGTCGGGTCGTGCATCATGTACCCATTGGGCATGTACCCGTTCGGTGGCATCTGATACATGTCCCTGTTCGCGACGGCGGCCTGCTGCACCGCCGAGATGGTCGACGTGTTGCGAATTGCACTGGGATCGCTCGTCTGCAGCAGTGATCCTACACCCAGCGGGTACTTCTCCTTGTTCTTCGTCAGCGTCTTTGTTTTCCTGCGTGGTCGGTACTTGTAATCGGGATGCTCCTTCATGTGCACCGCCCGCAGTCGCTTCGCCTCGTCAATGAACGGCCTCTTCTCAGACTCCGAGAGGTCCTTCCACTGCGCCCCCAGCCTCTTAGAGATCTCCGAGTTGTGCATCTTCGGATTGTCCGATGCCATCTTGCGCCTCTGGCCGCGCGACCACACCATAAACGCATTCATGGGGCGCTTCACGCGATCAACATTCTGATTCTTACTTGATGTGTTGTTATTGTTGTTGCTCGTGGACAGGCCGCCGTGCGGATGGCCGGTGGTCTGGCCAGTGGCGGAAATGTGATGCCCGCCACTCATCGGGTTCGTCTGCTGCGGCGGCTGCTGCTGCTGACTCGGATGGGACGCACTGGGACTCAGCCCGGACGTCTGCTGCTGCCCATGAAGGGGCGACGAGTGGGCATTGTGGCTTCCCTGGTGCTGCTGATGGCTGCCCATCAGCCCCGCGCCCGCGGTGTTGTTGTGCTGCGACGCCATGTGCGCCATGTGGGGCTGATGCGAGATCTGCGACTGGGCGAGCTGAGACTGGCCCAGGTTCATCATGCTCAGCGGCCCCAGGGATCCATATGGCGAGCCACCGTGCGAATGCAACGATGATGGGTGATGCGGGGGCATTGTGGCATGCAGAATTCCCCCCTTCATGTCAGCCTCCATCGTCAGCATGTCGTCGGTATCCCTGATAGAAAACAGTTTGGTGTAGTTTCTTGTATCCCAGCAGCACACGCAAGATTTTTGGTTGTTAGTCGCTTCCTCTTCACAGAATCCACCACACGCTATTGCTCCAGCCTCCAGGCCTGTGTCTCAATTGTCACAGCGGAGATGATTAAACATTTAGTTAACACTTGCATGCACTCGTGGTCTTAAATCATCATCAAACATTCCCATTACATGTAATGCACAGTTCGCCTCTGCCTGTCCCAATTACTGATCCCTATCGCACGTAACCACTCAATTGCTATTATTGCGCTAGTTATTATTGTTTGTCAATATACAGTACGTAGTTATGATCAAATGTCCGCACACTGGAGAACAACACAGTTTAAAGAGTGCCACATTAGGGGGAGGGTTGGACAAACACCATCAGCAATCGCGCGTCACAACAGAATTCGCACCCACGAGACGATTGCTGGCGAGAGAGCCCTTAAAACAAATAAATGTCTTGCAATCACACCCGCAACACAGCACACGCTAGAGACATGTGATCATAGGAGTGGTCTCCCGTCACACCACAGCAAGGCAGACTCTGAGGCTCGCTCACTGCGGCAAGCATTAAGTTAAGAAGAACAGAAGTGATGCGCGCCCTAAAACTTGATGGATGCGATGAAGAACAATAAGTCCACCAGTGGACACACTATTAACACATCTGAAGGTTACAGCAGTTACGGATTGAATGGAGGCCTAACGCGAGACCATCCGTAAAATACCTCCACACACTTTGGACTTGAGCACCTTTCTGTCTCCGCTGCGAAAACCTGTTCGAGGTGAGTTCGGGCGAAAAAAGCGAGAGACCGGAGAAGCGCGACGGACCAACACACACGTCTACTCTTGTTGCCTGTACAGCACTACTTCTGCTGCTGTGACCATGTCGGCATCAACTTCTTCGCACCCAAACTAACTTGTACACACAACACCAACCCAACCCCCTCCACCATCATTGGCAATCAGGCAAAGCTGGTTAGCAAGACACAAAGGGACGCCTGCTCATGTATTCGGCGACCAATTGCTGACGCAGTTCTCAGCGCATGTTCCCTCAAGATCTGGGCGGAGCGAGATCCCCTCTTCGCGCTCAACTCATGTACGAATGCCCAACGCCGCATCACCGCCACGGGCTTTTCGCCCGGCGTTGCCACATTTCCCGCGCCGTGTGAGCTTTCACTTCCACGCCACGGGCCTCTCGATGGCACGTAAATCACTCACAAGGAGTCGTCTACCTATGCCTAGCCGTACACCGCGTGCGTATCCCAACTACTTACAGGGGAATCATATTTATATCAGCAGGCATTACCTCATGTATTACTACCACCGCTTACAGGCTTGTGTGTCAGTGTTTTCTCATCCATCTCACCCGTGATTTATGTACTTTGTCACCCTGTACAGCACACATCCCCAGAAAAACTACCCACCCTTGCCGACAGCGCCTGTAGTGGTGCTAAATAAGGGTTACCACGCTGCGCATAGTGGCAGTCCATCTCTCAGAGCTCCCTTGAAAAAAAAAGCCAAGCGCGACGTGAAAAAAAATCTCCCATCCTGCCAAATAGGGGTGAATATCAAATCAACTGATTTACTTTCGCGTCTCTGATGGCATTCAAGTATTTCCATCCGCGCTGCCGTTTGTAGTTTCGCCATGACTTGAAGGTCTCCAGACCGCGTCAAGTCTTCCATCTTTCTATACAACCCCTCTCACTCTCTCCCCCCTCTCACTCTCTTGAGAGGCACTACAAAAGGATTAAGCCTTGCACTGGCAGCGCTCTGTATGAGTAATAATCGCGAAAATTGATTTTATTAAAGCACGCACATACACACTTTAATCCACACCTAATTATTTTCCACGCGCATTGTAAAGATCATATTTTTCCCCGGAGGTCATTAGATGCTTTTTACAAAGCAGCAAAAAATACATTCCAATTGCAATATTCACCGGGACTAATTAACTCCTGAGGGAAGTTGGATTTACAAATGAGCCAACCATACAAAACATGCCACAATTTTGCAGAAATTATAACGAGATGGCATAAGACAAAAAAATATATTCCTGAACAAATTCGTTATTCGGTAATTTTATCAACTGCACACTCTCTCTCTCTCTATCTCTGTCTCGTGTTGCATGATCAAATGTACAAAGACAACACGTCAGCCAGCTTTTAATCAAGTGAGAGAAAAAAAGAGTGAAAAAACTCTATTAAACTTTCATGATTTTGTTGACATACGAGACCACAAAAGGAATTTGTTTGAAAATGCATTTGTTGATATTCATGATTTACTTGTTGATATTGAGAGAGAGAGAGAAAAAAAGAGGAGAAAAATCTCTCACATGATTCATTCGTGCTTAAAGAATTACAAGAAAAGAAATCAAAATATTACAATAATATAAAAGTGTTCTCTCGAGACACACAAACCATGAGCGAATGAGAGAGGGAGACGGGAAAAAAAGAATTCAATTCCATTGAGCTCAAGGTAAAATAAGAGGCCGCTGTTGATGTGTGGAGTGTTTGTGGGGATCGGAGAGAAATGGGATGAAAGAAAGTGGAATATTTCCTTTGTCTCCTCGGCTCAGACATAAATTTGAGGCAATCAACACTCCCGCCATTGCGATGAGACATTTTATATTATTATTATTATTATTATTAGGATCAATTCCCCAGCATCGCATGAACTCGTGGAATTGTCGATGCGAGAAGCTCAAAATCCCACCAACATCAAGTTAGTAAATCACTCGCAATTATCACTCTTCTGCACGGTGTAATTTAATCACTATTAGTCACTAACCTCCTCTTATCTTGATCCTCCTGATCGCATCCTGTCTCATCGGTGGAATTCACAGTTCCTGGCTGATTGGTGTTGCTCATGAGCTGCAGGAAGTACGACGCCGCGTAGGAGTTCCACGGGAACACCGAGACCGATGGATTTTCCAGCACCGCCTTGAGGATCAAGCCCTCCTGTTGCTTATTCTCACTCATTGGCTGCAAAGAAACCCAGCAAAACGCCAAGAGTTAGCTAATTCGCACAGTGTTTGGAAGACACTCAAATACCCGGCAATTGAATATGATCCTCTCTGATAAAGAATTCAATCACGACTGAAGGGAAAGTGTAAATTTGCCATCCATCGGAAGACTTTCGGCTGAACTAACAGGTTTCACTGTTACTCATTCCGCTAGGCGAAGTTGCTGTTTTTTTGCCATTTGCCTTGTGATGGACAAAGTTCAGCAAGCCTTATCAAATCACTCCTCAGTCTCGGCTCGAGAGGGAAAATTAGTAAATTGCCAGAGCATTCGACATTATGAGGCGTGGGTGAATTAAAGTTTCGAGAGAGGCTGACTCGAACATATGGGCGATATCGAAACTTGACAATGCTGAATGGAAATGAAGCTGGAGAAACTCACTCCCCAAAGTATTTCCCGGAATATATACACAAGAATGACCTTGACACAGTGACACTTTGATTGAATTTCTAAAGCACACCGATAAAGCTCATTGAACTCTTTTTCACACCATCCCAGTGGGAAATTGTCATCATTGCCACCGAGCATAAAAGCCTCGCTCTCACTCTCTCTGTTGTCGTTCTTTCTCTACTTGCCACCATAGCCCCTGAATGGCTCTATGAAAAGTTCTATTTGTACACATCATGCTAAATCGTCACAAAAAGAATCAACAATCCCCCCATTGAAGTGCTCCGGCGAGAGAGAGCGCAGCACAAGAGCGAGAGCGAGAGCAACAGCACTGAATTTGTATTGAATTGTGGCTGTTTATTCTCTGGCGGAGCTCGGATGGCGCGGCTTTTGGGAGTTACACCGCCATCCATTGATTTTTTTTCACCATTCGGTGGCTGGAGGACGCCCTTTGATGACGCACAATGGCCCGCAATGTAGCAAGAGGCGCGAAGAAATGCCCCATTGACTCCCATTGTTGACACATTCTCATGGTCAACAATTTCTCCACACAGACTCAGCCATCAATTGATTCTCGAAGGGAGACAGACATTTTCCCCGACGCGGGAAATTTTTGCCGATGATGGCACATTTTTTTCTGCAAAGACAAACACGTCGTTGAACTTCCGGCGGAAGCTTGCGACTTTTCCTGCTCTCTCTCTCTCTCTCTCTAGCACTCACCCACACTCTCGAGACACGCGACCGAAGCATCCCCCAAATCATCAATAGAGTGCACTACATTTGATTTTTCTGCATCATCAACTTCTGCACGCCTCAGTCATTTTGAGCCCCTTCCGTTGCGCCAATGCATACAAATCGATTGACCATTTCGTCACATTTCCACCCACGCGAGGAGACAAAAAAGAAATCCTCTTGTCCATTTGCGACGCCGCATGGTGAAATGCAATGAATTTCCTCGAGTTTATTTATAGTGGAGTTTCACGTCACGAGTGCGATTTATGGCATGAGTGAAATTAATGGAGAAGTTTCAAGTTTTGCGCGACAGAGAAGAAGCAACTCCATTCTGCCACTGGAGGATTTTATTATATTACATTTCTCTGGCAGAAATTTAATTCATACATTTCACCCCTCCTCGGAAGGGAGGAAAAGTTGGCTGGCGCTTTCGAGAAATATCCTGAAGGCGATGGTCAATCTAAACTGGTGGAAACCGGACACTGACTTGGCGTGCCAACTTCTCGTTTCCTCCCAGTGACATTCCTTCTGACATTTCTGTTACGGCGCGTCCTTCCATGCATGATATCCCATTTCACACGAACCCTGTCCAGTTGCCCACCCACCCCACAGGCAAACCACCCTCGGAAATGCAATCACCCCAAAGAATTCCATCAGCGCTGCAATTTCTTACGGGTGTGAAAATTTTTACACTTTCACTGATTAATCGACATGAAATTAGGAAGAGAAATTTCTCAACAAATATCAAATATTTCAAGATTTCTCGCTGAGGTCGTAAAAGGCAAAACTCCCCGAGTTTTATGCCATTTTCTAATGTGTCACACTCATCGAGCGATGCTCATATTGGCGATATGAATTCCTAGTAATAATTTTATGGGAGTCGCAAAAACTCTTCATTTCGTTCCTCAGCTCGCCACAAATTTATGTCAGTGCACACCTCAGCCATAACGCGATCTTCATAGTCTCTGGATGGAGACGATGGCGAGGCGAAGAGGGGAGAGAGCGCGTCTTAATTGCAGCATTTCCAAGACAATTCTTCAAGATGTCGGGATGGCACAGAGAGAAATAGTGAGTCCTGAAATTTGATAATTTCACAGATGAACAGGAAGAGGCAGCAATAAAAAGTGACATTTCTCCTCCTCAGATAGCCCAGATTGAGAAGATTTTCGCAATCTCTGTAAATTATCAGAAATAGAGGAAATTTAATCCGAAGAGGATTTCTCTTCTGATGCAACTGAGTATCAACTTTCAGTCTCATTTTTTTCTATGTGATTCTCCTCTCAAATAGCATTTTGAGAAGCAATTATAAGTCTCAAAAACCTTGCAAGTGGTTTTTTTTATTATCTCGCAAAAGAAACCACAATTTTTCCTCACAATTATGCTTTCTACAATATTGCGTCTTCTGTTTACCCTTAAAAAATTCATTTCTCGAGAAGGGCGAAACCCACCCTTTGAGGAGCTCTGAATTCCTGGCCTCGCACGCCAAATGAAATTTCCTCAAATGTCACTTTAAGGCGCTGGCAACGTCGGTTGGTGGCTGTTTGAAATATTAGAAGTGTTTTCCTCTCGTGTGGCCATCAGAATAATCATCATTCGTGGCCTCATTACATTGCTCAAGAGATGAGGGTTGTGAGAGTTTAGATTTCCTCTCCATAGCCATAATTGTACTCTTGCAGCAAAATTGCTTTGTGCCCTCGGCGGGCGAGTGGAAAAAAAAATCCCAACCACCAACACTCTGATGAGATTTCACACATTTCCCATACCCGAATATGCATTACGTATATTTTTCCAGTGGCATAGAGGAGAGAGAAAAAAAGAGAGCAAGAGAGGAGCGTAGAAGAAAGACCCAATGTCACTGAGGGCGCGGATTTTGAGATTTTCCACGAATATTAAATTTTTCATGACTCGAGCATTTGCATGTAAATGTTATTCTTGGAGAAAAATGCTAAAATATGTCCAACTTGTGTATCTCTGGGCGAAATTTCCATCTCGCAACAATGAGTCGGTGGATGGGTCGCCGGAGTGGAGAGGCCACGAGGGGGCTAATAAATAATACATTGAGCGCCGCATATTGCTGCCAACAGTGGATCCACAACGATGGCCTGATTCATGCTGCACAGGATACCGGTGGTAGACCAGAATTTCTCCAGTTCACCTCCTCTCAGCTCAGATCCAATTCAATTTCCCAGAGTTTCCACTGCGCTATATACTGTGGATATTTTTGCAGTGCTTCGCCTTTGGGTAAATTCCACGAGCGGAGTATCTCATGAGTTAAATTGCGAGAGCTGCCAAGGGGGAGATGATATGCCTTAAATTTGTACACTTCCAAGTTTGCCTGCCATTTCCAGAACTTGAATCTTTCAGACTGTGAAATTCTTGAGTTTTCATCACATATTTCTGCAAGAATTCATTTAAAAACACTCTTTTGGACATCTTTCCTGACCATAACCTCAAAATATTACCAAGAGATCTTCAAAAACATCGTTTGGAAGCTTTTTAGATCACAGAATCATCAAATAACGTACAGAAAATTTTTCTAAATGAACATTTTCTTAGTTCACATGATTCTTTTTGAGGTTATGTTTGATTTTCTGACGTGTTTCTTGGCATAAAGATGTTTATTACATGAAAATGTTTAATTCTACCAATGGTTTACGACCTCTGCGACTTCAGCATAAGAACTAAGATAAGAACTGATGTGTTTCAATAACAATTCTTCACTAAATCTGTCCTTGATTCATTACATAACTTAGAAAAAAACTATTTTGTGATTGTTTCAAGCGCAAAAATCAAAGAAAATCCAAATAAAAGCACTCAGGTAAGGAATATTGCAGGTTTTAGAACACTTTCACTTCCCAAGACTTTCATTGAGCTGTACACCACTTCTGACATATATTATCTCCCCCTTGAAACTTACGAAGGAAAGAGGTGTGGAGGAGGAGAGATCTACCCGCTCCTTCGCACAATAACAAGTCTCGAATGTCAGAAAGTCAATTAAAAGTAATTTCCGCTGATAAGACCATCTTTCTCTCTCCCTGCGCCGCCGAAAATGACTTTAAGCTCCGACTGGTGAGAGAGAGTGAAAGATCAGCGAATTCTGGGTATAGAATTCTCACACTCCGCGCCCATTCTCACCCAGGGCACAGTCGGAGTGCAGTGAAATCGCTGATTCTTTAATTCCTCACCCGACGACGCCGAAGCATTGTGTGAGTTCGCCATTATAATTGGTGCTGAATGGAATCTGTGGCGAATAATTGGTAAATTGATAGCAATTTCGATTTAGTTTCATTGCTGGTGTGGCATGACTTGATTCTCTAATCCGCTAAAATTACATTTGATTGACCGGCGACAGAGTCGACAGAGGTCCTTTATGCGCTACATCTACTTAGGATGCCCTCCGCACACAAATAATCGCCACCGGTAATTAAATCGGCGACACCCACTAATAAATCACAATTATTCTCGCCATTTTGCACTGTCGCTCCAGCAGAGGAGAACGCCATTGGCCGCAGCGCTTCGTGGTCCACATCGGCGATGCTGCAAGGCATTTTCACAGGGCAACTGTGAGCGCAGGAAAAAAATGTCTCAAGTCGCTCTCTCACTCTAATCACCGAGCTTAGGATTTCTCGGACACACACACATCACGTCACACATGAGATGTGCTACCAGAATTCTCAGTATTTTGAGAGCGAGGCAGAGTAATCTCAACACTCGAGGCTTTGTGATCCACCCGACCAGGTGTTCATGCCGCAGCATATCCTTCAGGTATTTTTTCCTGCTTCATCCCTCCTGCCTATTCTCCTCCGCATTTCAATTTATCAACGCACTCAAGCCCAACATCA